GGTCTTAGTAAAGACTACCATCAGGTTCCCAGGCAGTCTTGAGATGCCTGAAGAACCAAACCACCCCACCTTCAACTTTTTCAAAGCCCACATGTACCATGGAGTTTTAAAAAAGTAAACCAAAACTGATGTTTATATTTGCCTAAAGAACGTAGCTATCAACAAAGCTCATTTAAGATACTTACAAGATTAGGTTAATTATCTTCACTGTAAAGTCAACAAAAGCAATCAAAGGAGGAAGTTCCATGGAAATGGTGTGCTTTGAGTGGGAAGAATAAGGTCTGGCTCGCTAAAACGCCACTGTACGTTCTAGTTCCCCCATCTGCAAAGCAGCACATCCATATAAAAACAATGTCAGCCACAGATCTAATCTGACCTTTTTCTAGAAGGAACACTTTAAAAAAGGTAAAGGGGCGCCTGGGTGGCTGTCATTAAGCGTCTGCCTTCGGCTCAGGTCATAATCCCGGGGTCCTGGGATCGAGCCCCATGTTGGGCTCCCTGCTTGGCGGGAAGCCTGCTTCTCCCTCTCCCACTCCCCCTGCTTGTGTTCCTGCTCTCGCTATCTCTCTGTCAAATAAATAAATAAAATCTTTAAAAAAATAAAAAAGGAAAAAAAATAGGTAAAATAAATATAAAAAATGTTTTATTTAATAGCCAACAAGCATATAAAAAGATACTCAACGTCACTCATTATCAGGGAAACAAAAATCAAAACTACAATGAGAGATCAGTTCACACAATGGTTACTACCAAAAGAGAAGAAAATGTTGGTGAGGATGTGGAGAAATTGGAACCCTTGTACACTGTTGGTGGGAATATAAATTGGTGCAACCACTAGGGAAAATAGTATGGAGCTTCCTCAGAAAATTAAAAACAGAACTACCCTATGATCCAGTGATTCCCTGACTACATATATATTCAAAAGAAATAAACGAAAAAATAATGAAAGTGTGATTTTGAGGAAATGTTTGCACATAACTGAAAGAAATGAAAGTATAATCTATGAGATGTTTGCACACTCATAGCCAAGAGATGGAAGAACCCAAGTGTCCACTGACAGATGAATCAATTAAAAAAGTGTGTTACATAAATACAGTGGAATATCATTCAGCTCTAAAAAGGAAGGAAAGGCTAATAATGATAAGGATGAACCCTGACATTATGCTAAGTGAAAAAAACAGTCATGGAAAGATAAATACTGTCTAATTCCACTTACATGAGATATCTAAAACTGTCAAAATCATAGACACAGATAAAATGAAGGTTGCCAGGAGCTGGGAGGAGGGGAAATGGGGAGCTGACATTTAATGGGTATAGTGTTTCAGTTCTGTAAGATGAAAAGTTCTGGGAGTGGGGTGCACAACTCTGTGAATATGCTTAACACTACTGAAGTGTACACTTAGAAATGGTTAAGATGGTTAAATTTTAGGAATTTTTTTTTACTGCAATTAAAAATGTTTTTTATTTAACCCAATATATTCAAAATATCTCCACATATCATTAATATGAAAACGACAGAGATTTTACATTCTTTTTTATGTACTAAGTCTTCAAACTTCCATGTGAGCGGACACTAACAAGCCCATCTCCATTTGGACTAGTTGCATCTTCATGGCATCCCTACTGGGCTCGTGCTGAGCTAGACCTCACCTGTCACCCCCATATGACAAACCTTATAGTTAGATCCAAATAACTAAAAATATTTTGGGGGTGGGGTAGCACAGAGGGTCTTTTTCTTGCTACCAGACTTTTTTTGAAATCTGATTTGTCCTCGGTTGGCTCTATGAAAGACTGATGGGCAAGACTTGAAACTCTGAACATCTCCTGAGCATCTCCTCTTTGTCAGACCCTCATTAGGAGGGTCTAAGACATCGTGCCTCTCCTCAGAGGGCTCACAATCTAAAAGGTGGGTCAGATAATTACCAGCTCCAAGAGGAGTATGCCAAGATGTGGAGGAATACAAAGAACAACACAACTCCTACCTATGAACTCTTATGTTCCAGGGAACAAATATAAAGTTTAAGTCATTTGACACGTGGAAGTTGTTAATTAACTAGCTTTCACCCTGTTCACAATATTCACCAGCACATTCTGACCTTTCTCAACGCTTATTTCCAATTGCAATAACTACACCTTCAAAGTATGAATTTGTGCAGAATTCAGTACAATTTGTATTAAAAACACATATGGCATAAGCACACTCACCAGAAAAGGCACTCAGAAACCTACACCTGTCAATGATTTTGACTAAAATAATCGGTTATTCACTAAGAGAGCAAAGGCCAAGTTAATCCACCCAGGGTATAAGGAGACTAAAATTTGGTTCGTAAAAGTGAAAAAAACAAAAACAAAAAACAAAAAACAAAACCGCTGTTTCTCATGGAAAAATATAATATTGTTTGAACATATCCAGAAAAATAAGGGATATGGAGGAAAATATGAAGGCATTTCTAATATAAACATCTACTTAATGTACATCCCAAACAAGAATTTACTTTCTCGTTAGAACAAAGATGCAAGAACAGAACTGCAAGATCCACTGCTTTCTATCCCAACTCACTGAGCAGAAACTATTTGGTGAGTGAAGGAGCAGAAGCCCCAGGCGAAGGAGCACCTCTTTATAACCTCCCATTTGTGTTGCCCTGGCTAAAACCAATCATAAAGACTTCTTGGTGAAAAATGTATTTCGCAATAAATTATCAAAAGTCTCACTGAAGATCTTAATGGATATGGTTGAGTAAGGAACATTAAACAGGACGAGAAAGAGAAGAGAAGCAAAATTTATCAACTCAGCATATTTCAGTGGTCTTTAGGCATGGAACTATTGGAAGAATAACCAGGAAAAAAAGTTACAAACTGCAAAGGCTGTCAATTTTATTCTACAGTTTAATAAAACTCGTACCTGACTAAGTCTTCTCCAGGCCCCCATTCATCCCCCACCCCAATAAACAAATATCCCCAGAACTTAATACTGAAAACTTACCTTGGTCACTAACTTCAGATAAACTCCTTACACCTTATCATTTAATCCTGTGCATTAAAGTCTCAGTTATCATGCCAATCTACTATAAAGTTACACCTCGGGATCCATGACTTGACTTCACAGGTATAAACATAACTTTGCTTAATAATTTAGATTGTGATCTCTAAAGCTTTACATCTGTCATCTTGAGTAACGGTGCTTACCTTATAATAAGCTCACTAAACAGTATGTCACCATACATACCAAAACACACACACACACACAAACTAGGTCACCCACTATTCCTGAGTAACAAGAAAAGAGAAACTGTTTCTGTGCATTAAGGAACCATCTGTAGAGGTGGATTCATAGGTCTGCAGGGAAAAACTATAAGGCTTCCCAAGGATCCTTAAAATACATAGTTTTTAAAAATAAACACCATAAAGCCCTATTCCTTCACTGAGTAAGCAAGAATGCTATAGGTTCATATACCTCGAGTACTTACAATGGGCAGAAAAACCTTTGCAAGCACCAACTTCTAAAGTTTAAATGAATTCAGGAGGGTAGTAATAGCTAAAGTAATAGTAGCAATAAAACTTCGAGTTCCTTTCCCTAACTAAGGAGGGATCCCAATAAAGTCTATCTCAGTTTTTAGCAGAAGACACATCGCCAACATGCATAGCTACTGGTGTTTCTGCCATCCCTGCTTGCTATTTCCCAGGTTTGCCCAACCTGACAAGTGACCAATCCTCTGAGGTTCTGACTCTGTAACATGGGGACAGACCCACACCTCTTCGAAGGTTGAGACAGAGCCCCACAATACCTGCAAATACAAGATTTGTCATTGTGTTCCAACAGTCAAGTAAGTGTCTAGTCTGAGGACTCCGTTTTAATCAGCCTTTGGCAAAAGTCTGATCTACACTGTAAGGGAATCTATACTGGATCCTTAAGGAATAATGCTGCCACCTTATTTATATCTCATTAATGCAGGAAGGAAGGGCTTATCTGTCCAAATGGTAAGATTCTGGTGAATCCCGACCAAGATATTTTCCACTGGGGGGAAGAGTGATCTGAATCAACACAACAACACAGATGTATTCCCTTACCAAGGTCACCAGAACTGAACATGCTCAAAGTCACATGCTGGGGGCTCAAGGGTCAAATCTAGCAAGCAGATGTTTTTATATGGCTTGCACAGTACTTTCAAAGTTCTAAGTTAATTGTCAGTGTCAAAACATCTTTGATGCCGGGATCTTTGGCACCAAAATCTGCACTCTTGGGTTATCTTGCACTGTACCATAGGAAAACCTACCACTCTGAGACCACACAGCCACAGATGGGGGCGCAGTCCTAATGCAGAAAGTGTAAATGCTCCCTAACCTGCCAGAGTCCCCACCAGGTCAACTCCCTCACTGTCCTGCCAGATTTTCCTGGTTCAGACCCAAAAACGGTCTTTAATCCCTGAAATAGATACCCACAATCTAATCTTATTAGTACCATATCCAAAACCTCTGAGCAAACAAAAAATCAGCCCAAAGAGGAATCTGAGTAGAAAACAACCCATTTTTCTGGTTCTCTATTGGTACTGCCTTGATGAACCAGATCACTTTCTAAAAATATCATTTTTGAAAACAATTGACTTGTCTCATCTTTCTTCATACATCTGGTTATGTTTTTAAGCTATTTGCTGTATTTGACGGAGTCCCCTTCAAGTACAGTATCGTTGATAAGTAAGTCTTAGTGGTTAGAACAACACACACACTTTAATGAAGGCAGGCAGCAAGGATTACAGCTTCACTGCTCAACAGGCCTTTACTACATACATTTTATTGCTGCCACTAAACTTGGTAATGTAAAAAAAAAAAAAAAATACTGTTGGTTTGATGTCTTACTTGACACATCCTCCATTCCCATGAAAATATGGACTACATCAGTAAAAGGATTCTAAAAGGGAGTTTAGTTTAAATGCTACACACAGCCTTTAAGCAGATATGCAAACAACCACACATTAACTACCTCTTACCCAGGCATTGCTTACCCATTGCACTGAGGTAATGGTTGAAGGCCTGGCAAGGAGGACTTGGGGTTTGTGTTGATTTGTCACAACTCATGGGTGCCGGGCTCCTGTCTGTGTCAAAAGAGAAATACCCACTGGAGGATCGAGACAGCAGGGAGGATCTTCTCACAAAGATGAAAAGCGGGGATCTGGTAGCAAAAGGGCCGGGGCTGGCTGGTGGGGCCAGCGGGCCCTGAGGGCTGCCTTGGGGGCAGCGGTCCCCTTCGCCTTCAGGATTACCTTGCTGCTCTGTCTGTAGAGAGGTAGGGGCCCCAGGCCTGAGCTGAGGAGGCCTCTCAGCAGGCTGCAATTGTCCACCTTCTCTGTCACACTCAGAACTTACATCTGAAGGTTGCTTTGCCATTTGGTCTTTTTTTCTGCAAGCAAAATAAAAACTAAGATTATCTCCAGCAAAGTAGCAATTACAACAAATAACTACATTTAGCCAACTTTCGCTGATTTCTTCACGATTTTTAGAACACCAACTACTTTAACACTAAGTCGTTAGTTCATATATTTCTCCGACGATCTCTCGAATAAGAATAAAAACACACCTCAAATAACAAAGGTACCTCTATCTTTGCGTGGAGGGGGGGAGGGACTAAACTTCCTGCCACCAAACAAAACACAATCACAACGTCAATGTGAGACCGGTGCTGTAACACACACACACACACACACACAAAGTTTTTAGGAGAAGCATCTTGTGTGAAGTCTACTCCCATATGCTCTTTGCTCAGAGCCGACTTGAAGAAGTCGGAAACTCCCAGCGGGCTCTGATTTCCCGGGATCAGATACTGCGCTGGAGCACAGGAGCGGGCGCAGATGCAGCGATTGCAGGCGGCTGGCCGCGTTCCCCACTCCGGCCCCATTGTTCTGCCGAAAGTGCTGAGGGCAGCAAGTCTGGGGAAGGTTTGGCAAGGGCCGTCAGTCGTAGTAAGTGCGTCACAATAGAGTTTGTAACTCGGAGCGCGGCTCGGCCGGGCTCGGGCGCTCCCCGCCCGCGGTCCCTCCCGCTCCCAGCCCGGGCGCCCCTCCTCCCGCAGGGGGCAGCGCGCCGCACCGAACCCGACAGAACTTCGGAATGCACCCACACTGTGAGGTGCACACCTCCAAATGGGGGGTCTCCCCAAAGCCGTCCCCGGGCGCCCCCTGCAAAGTCCCCAAGTAACTCCACACGCTAGGCGACACCGGGGTGCGCGGCTCCTTCACCCCACTGACCCTCCCCTGTGAAGGCAATCAGGCCGAAACTCACGTCCGCCCCTTCCCTTCCGATCGTCGCGTCCCGGCCCGGGCCCCGCGGCGTCCCGCCCGCGTCCTTCGCCGACACGGAGCCCCCTGACCGTCAGCACCAAGGAAGCGCGGGAGACAAAGCCCAGGACTCGCGTTCAGAACGCCGGGGGCAGCGC